CATGTTTGCCAACATTTTTGGTTTGGATTTCCTGTTTTGCCAAAGGTGGTCAAGCCCAACATCAAAGGAGGCCCAAAGATGTTCCAAGACCCAAATATTGGTAAAAGATAACTCTCCAGAGCCACTGATTGAAGAATTGATAGTGTGGGCAAGCTGAAAAGTGTAAGAATTTACACAGCATTCTACAGAAGAAGCATTTCAGCATGCTAATGTTTTGCTTCTTTTGGGCCATAACATTGCTCAATGGCAGCATAAAATAACTAAAATTCATAGTCAAAATCAAGTGCAGTTTTGTGACCAACACTTGTTTTTTGTTTCCAATGGATTGCAATGACCAGCAATAGCACACTGATGCAAGAGTCTTGATGAATAGGTGGGTTGTAAGTGCAACAAACACCTACTATGCTATAGGAAAATTGACTGTGTCAGCTGCATTCCATTTGGGCTTCCTGTGGATCCTAAGCTGGGGAAGAGGTGCTGGCTCAACCCCTAGAGATTTTGAGAACAGCTGATGATTTTTCCAACACAGCACTGCATTAAATTTTTCCAGACAAAATAATTTTTTTTCAAAATTTGAAGAATCAGAAATAGTGGATCATGAAGGAGGGCGGGGGGGGGGGGCACAGGCAAACAATGACAAACAGAAATGGTGGATCAGGATGAGGGGCCCCATTTTTGGGGCCCCTCATCCTGATTCAAAAATCCAAAAATCAAAGATGCTTTTGATTCCACATAGTTCTACGTTTAGCAACAGATTTCGACAGAACTACGGTGGTCGATGAATACTGGATATGTACTTAATACATTGGCATAATGCAGCAGAACATTAGAAATTTGGTGTGGAGTATTCTGGATATGCATACAGAGGACGAAATTGTCGAAAAATGGTCTTCATTGCGTGATTGCGCAACAAATGAAATCGTGCTTTCCTTTTGTTGCAGCTATAGGTTGGAATTACGGCGCGGGGGGCCATTATGCTTACTGGGGTGTGGGAGCGAGGGACTAAAGAGGAGGTTTATAGTGGGCTTCAATGCTGCTATGCGCTTTGAATGAATGTGGTGCGTATACCGCATGGCTGAACATGAGCCACAGCTGTATCTACATTTGCAGGGGGAGGGGGAGAGTGTGGCCTCATAACTGGAACGTGCCTCACTGCCGCGGATGTGAGCTGACAGCCCGCTGTTTACGGCCCCGGCCTCCGTATAGTGCAATCCTCCAATTTCTTCTTTCTCGGACTCTCCTGTTCGCCTGTCGCGTTTTTTTAGGTTCTGTGCACTGCGCAGAAGGAAAGATGGAGTGAAACGTGACCTTTTAGGCCTTCCTTTCCAGATCTCACTTTCATCCCTGATAGAGCAGTGACGCATGTCCATGGTATGTTCCTCTGCAGCCAGTGTTGATGCGAAGGTCAGCTGGAAAATATCGGTGCATCACCGAATGAAATCCTCGAAATTTCCCGTCGAATGTCATGGAGTATGCTGCAGTCGCGTACACTGATTAAGTTTTTGAACTTGAAGTGGATATCTTTTTATAAATGCAATAGCATGGATATTTCATTGTACACGCAGTGGAAGGGTTGAGTGCATTATTTTGCGGGCAGTACTAGACAATGACTGTGTGTAGCGGGCGCGGCCACGATGGTACCGCCCAACTGACCAGCCGCCGCTCCCAGGCGGGACCGCTGCGGCTGCCGTGTCGCGACGGGCGCTGTTGCCGCCGCTGTCTGCGCGTCACCTGGCGGCGCAGGGCCGCGTTACTGACGCGGCGGACGGCGGTGGAGTGGTCGGCCGCGCCGCGGTGGAGGGACAGCCGGGGAGGGGGAGGGTCATGTGGACACGTCATCTTTGTGCCGGGCCGCCGTCGCGTGGCTTCGGGGCTGGGAAGTGTCAGAGGTCGTGGGTTGCTATCGCCGGGGGCTGGGGCGCTGCTGACTGGCCGGGGCGGAGCCGGCACGCCGCTGTGGCGTGACACCGCAGGCCCGCCGGGCCGTGGATGGGGCGCCGCCGACGGTCCAATATTGACGCGGCCGCCGCTCGTGGATAGGATTCGTGTTGACATACTCCACTTGTCGGACGGGGCCGCACCGTCACACAAGGCCCGCGGCCAGCGATAGCCAGGCGCGGTCCGTTTACTGCAGGGCGCCTTCCGATGCCTCCGTCCAGTTTGTGGAATGGTGGGCACCCCCGGCGGGAAGATGGAGTCCCCGTGTTGCGGACGACTCCGCTGCACCACCCTTCACCGCTCCGCCCCGGACTCCTGGGCGCGCCCCTGCCGCGGCCGAGCTGTCAGGTGTGCCTCCGTCCATGTTATGGAATCATGGGCACCTCCAGCAGGAAGATGGAGTCCCCGTGTTGGGGACGACTCCGCTGCACCACCCTTCACCGCTCCGCCCCCGAGTCCTGGGCACGCCCCTGCCACGGCCGGGCCGTCGGGTGCGCGATGTGCGTGAGCGCGTGCGTGCTGACTCAGGCGAAGAACTGCACGCACGGGAGAGAGGTCAAATTGATTAGGCTGTGGAGCTAGTGAAGTGCAGTTCGGCGCTCCATGGCTTTGTTGTCAGTCTGTGCGAAATGACAGATATGGCTGGGCGGCCGGGTGTTGAACTTGAAGTTACGACATGTATAAGTCATGGTAGAGCATCTGTGGTGGCTGAGTCGGTGTTGCATGACAAGAGATTATCGAGAGCTGAGAGCAAAACTAAAAATTGACAAGGATTAAGCCGTCGTTTTTAAAACTGAGGAGATAAGTAACGAAATAGGGGTCAACTGCCTCCGTGGTGTGAGGCGAGCGCAAACCCCTGGTCTATGTGGCGAGTATTTGTATATGAATGTGGTCATCACAGTTCCGGCAACTTTTTCTGGGGTTTTGCACGGTAGTGTTCTCAAAGTGGGTGGACTAGGCTCGTTTTCAGGAATATTATGTGCGCGCATGTGCTTGAGCTCTATTCTGTTCGACACCCCCGTGATATGCATCCATGTTAAATTTCAACACAATGTGTTTGTTGGTCGTCAATGGACGTCTTGCCTGCGCTCACGCCTAGTCATAATTGAGGGGCTTTTAGGATGCAGGTAACTCCGCATTGGCCGCGCCCCTCAGCGACGCACCATGCCTGTGGGGGGGGGGGGGGGGCAGATTTTTCCCCCACCCTGATCATCTCAAGAACGGTCGGCTGAATTGAAAATTTAAACGGCAATCAATAGCGCCGTGGCGTGCGGTCTCAGACCGCACAACAAACTTCGGCTGCTTCCCCTCCCCTCGGCATCGCTGCCGTGGTAGACGGGAGCCTCGCCGCCCGCTGCCGTGGGTCTCGGCCCACCTGGACGCAGGAAACATGCGCTCCGATGCTTTTCAAGCCATAGCTCAGTCATTGTTGCTGGGAGCGTCGGGCAACTCTGTACAAACATTCTTCATAGCCGTGTCTAAGACAGTTTTGATATTTTCACTTTTGATGTTTTCACAATGTGTAATAAAAACGTCCAAAGCTCTGAGCGTATTTTTCATCGATGTTTGTGTAAATTGACGTCATATTTCAATATGCAATACTGAAACAACACAACGACAAAGCATATGGATAATGAACTCACGTGTTTTGTTCTCACATGTTGATGTTAGAACTCGTGGGGATGGCCCACATTTCCCGTTTACAGATATCAAACATTTTCTTTGCGTTCGGCTTCTGTTTCAATTATCTACAGGTAAGCGCTCTTGTCAGAAATCGGCCGCCCATACCCGAGCCCACAGCTCCCCATTCCTGAGCTCGCAGCTACCCATACCTGAGGCCATAGCCGCCGATACCCGAACCCACAGCTGCCCATTCCTGAGCCCACAGCCACCCATACCCGAGCCCACAGCTGCCCATTCCTGAACCCACAGCCACCCATACCTGAGCCACAGCTGCCCATACCCGAGCCCACAGCTGTCCATTCCTGGGCCCACAGTCGTCCATTCCTGAGCCCACAGCTGCCCATACCTGAGGCCGCAGCCGCCGATGCCTGATCCCATAGCCCTCATACCTGAGCCACAGCTGCCCATATCCGAGCCCACAGCTGCCCATTCCTGAGCCCACAGCCGCCCATACCCGAGCCCACAGCTCCCCATTCCTGAGCCCACAGCCACTGCCTATACACCCTAGCCCACAGCCGCCCATACCCGAGCCCACAGCTCCCCATTCCTGGGCCCACAGCCACTGCCTACACACCCTAGCCCACAGCCGCCCACACCTGAGCCCACAGTCGCCCACACCTGAGCCCACAGTCGCCCATACCTGAGCCCACAGTCGCCCATACCTGAGCCCACAGCCGCCGACGTGCGATGGCCAGCGGACGTCGTTGACGGGGGCGTGCCCTGTTTCCTCATTACGCAATATGGTTCATAACCTCTGTGGCTCCATGTTCGTCCTGCCTATCGGGCGTTTCAGCACCATGTCGGGATGCGTGTGGCCAGCTGCTCGTTTCATATACCTTGTCAACTGTTGGATAAACCTGAGTAACATTTTGTTGCAAGTTTGTCTAAGTCGCTGTGGCTTGGCTCGATTGTAAGGGCCAGCAATGGGCGGACTTCAGCCAGCCGTGTTGGGGCTGAGCCCGTCTCCCTTCCTGTGACGCGAGGTTTCCACCCGTAACCACCTGCGGCCGGAAACAGCACTAACGCTCCCCGATTGTCAAAGCCCTCTCTGAAGGATTGCTGCTAGCATGGGCAGAAACGCACATCTTGCTACAATATACCGTGTCCTTTCGAGGTTTAAGCATTTGTGTGCACCTGCGTCCGTAAGACGATTATATGAAGTTTATCTGATGATGATTGGTGGTTTGGGCATCTGGCCACTTCGATGACTGCAATGGCCATTTCACGCTGACCTATATCTGTAACGTTTCCATAGGTTTGGACGATTCTGTACGGCGAGTCCAGCATTAACAATGCGAGATGAGCCTGTATAGTCAGAACAAGGCAGATCGCGGCTGATCGGCTTTCGGGCCGGCGGCTCCCAGCCGCATTCGTAAGGACCCAGCTTCGTGAAGCGGAAGTACGAACCTCCGCACTCTGATCCGCGTCGCATAAACTCAGGCGAAACTTGTCTGATCGGCATATCCTATGTGTCAATGCCTTAAAAATGTTCATTTAATTCGAATAATTTCGTATCTGGCGTGCATGCCTAATCGCTCCAATAAGTGTTGAAGGTCTTATCAGAGACGCAAGTTTTCAGGCCCGCTGTGCTACAATGCTGATCGGCCATTAACCCGCAAGTGCTAATTTATGGCAAGATGAATTTTATCATTTCACTGCATTGTTATACCCCTGCATTGAAGTGTGCATGAAATGGCATGTGTCATGCGGTGCATAGCATTGTCCGGCTAACACCAATGGATGTTGTTCAGAGAGCAGCTGTCAAAGCACCTGCGCCATGGATTTATAATGCACCAAAGTAGATATTAAGCACTGTGACAGCGGCTTCCAACTACAAATGAGAAGGAAGGGGGTGGAGATGGAATTTGTCTTCCACCAAAATGCTCTAAATATTCCACCCTTCCACCTCACCTCAATAAACCGCAGGCCATTTCGTCTAAAATAGCATGCGTCAACTGATAGCTTTGTCCTGACTTTGCACTGAATAAAATTGTTTGGATGTTTTAAGTCACGGGAAGTGTCAGTTCATTACAAAACACACAGGCTCAGTCATCATTCGGCTGCATCACAGTTGCCACAATGTCATATTTCTCGTTGATGAACCACAGCCAGCCTCCTGTGTGGTGTTTTCTGTCCTTTAGTGGATACAGTGTGCAACCACACCGCATAAGAACCACATGGTAGCTTTGAAACGATCCACATTTTTCCTCTTCATTATCCACACTTAATTCTTGTGTAAACGTAGAAGGGTTGAATGCACCACACTTTCACAATAAGAGCCAAGTGCAGTGGGTAGCTGTGTTTATATTAAGGACCCACCTAACCGCTGCTCAGCGAAATCGGGCTATAGCTTTGACAAATGTGGGTTCTTGTTTTGGAGTTTTTCCGTGGGATGTTCGCTTAAAGCTGTGAAATTTGTGCAGCCTGGCTTCCTGGTGTATCATGTTTGCCATGGGTTTCATGTCACTGGTGCTCTTGCTGTATACAAAGAAATACGTTTTTTTCGTGATGGTTTTGTGTTTGGCATCACATTCTGGTTTTGAGATTATTTTAATGCTTCGGGAATGGCAAAATGCACTGTTTTGCGTGCTTTAATTTTCTTGGCCCGCAGAAGCTCGCCGGGTCTGTCCCATAATCCAGCTAAAAGCCCGCGGGTTCTTGCGGGTCAGAAATTGGCTGGTTGGCGGGCTGAAAAGTCGTGTACCTAGATCAGACCCTTCCAAAAATCAGATTGTGTGTTGTAACGTACAATACGAGTTTGAAAACAAGTCCTTCAATTTTATGAAAACAGTCCTAATGGACAAAAAAAAACATGGCAGACACGACACACCATTCAACCAGGCTGCGCAATGTCAGCGATTTGGGGGAAACATCTCTCTAAGAAATGTGGGAATAACTACCCAACTTATCAATACTCCGGCCGATTTCATTGAATAGCTTGATGGGTCCATTATGTAAACATAGCGACATACTACGCCTGGTTGTTGTGAGGGCGAGGTGCACCTAAAGTTTCCTCTTTTATACACAAAACGAGCAGAATCAATTTGTAATGTATGAAATGTCCGGGAAATAGTCACACTGTCCGTACCCTAGCCTGGCTCACTGATCAATGAAGACCGCAGTTCTTCATATATTACATCCACAACATTTAACAAAGTTCTGATGGTGAGAATGCAGAGTTTGTCTATGTTCATTGTCCATATTTAAACACGCACATTTCCGTTCATACAAGCACATTTGATCTACGGCAGGGGCAGTAGAAGTTCTTACGCACGATGTCATTTGTGATTTCTGTGATTGCCATTAATTTTCAACATACACGCCTCAAATATTTTTGTTTTGTTTGATTCTGCCATCTCTCCCCATCCCAAGTCGATCATGGCCTGTGTTCCGTACACAGGTTCGTGGCAAAAATTCCGGTTCAACATGCCACGGCAATTCGATGCAGTTCCGAAAGTTGCGGTCATCAGGCTATGTGGCCAGTTGTCTTACAATATGCGTTGCTCAATTTTGTTTTTTACGTCGAATTAGTCTTGCACGTTTAACAGTGTCTTACATTTTGGGGCGTTGCCCAAAGTGATAACACTTGAGTGGCACTGGCATCGTTCTTGAACAAACCTGCTGCTGACTTTGTACAGGCGTGATGACGGCCGCTCGGGAAAGAAACGGGATGGTGGTAAGCGGGAAACATGGAGCATTTCTGAGCTGCCGCGTGGTATTTCTTCCGTACTGTTGCATGATGCATCCATTTTAGGACAGAGAACACCACCAGAGCCTGAATTTCTTTCTTGAATCCGGATTGCGGCCTTACATCAATTATGACGCATTCGCGTTCTGTGAGGTAGACGGACTGAAAATGCCCAATTCTAGCGGTAGTGTCACATACTTCACTATACTATACTTTATATACTATACTTAATACTATCACTATACTTTCGTAAGGTTGTTGGCTTAAAGCTTCCATAAGGCTCGGATTGTGCTCGTGTGCATTGAAATGAAGTGAGGTGACTTCCCACGATTCAAAGATATCCAATACATTATTTTACTCTTCAGTGCAAGACCATCAACATATTTAAGCCAGTTTTAGAAAACCTTGCCTTTGATTTACTGAAATGAGGAACAGGGGCGAAAGTCTTGGTCAATTTTGGCAAGGTTCTAACACGGAGCACCATGTTGCCTCCCATGTGTAGTTAACAATTGGCGTCACAGTGTTTAAACGGTAATTAGATGCTACAAAGTGTCAAAGGTGCTTTTGTTGCTGCTATCACGCTTCCACTACTGGTATTAAGCAAAGAAAGACATGCACTGAAAGGTACTGATCGTATATTTGATGCACACGTGGTGCATAGGCTTAAAATGAAATAAACGTGTTACAAAATCCAGATTGCACATACCTTGACGTTTGTGGGTTAACGTTGTGTCAGCATGGTGGCACGACCGGGCGCTTGCGGGCTGCGTCCCTAGCTGGCCGGGGCCGGGCGGTGGACGGACATTTTCAGACAAAGTTGGTTCCATGGTTCGTGCTGTCTTGTCATGAAGCAAAGCTCGGATAGCTAATGACTCATGATGGGCCCCAGAATTTGAGCCACTTTTTGGTGCGGAGTATTGCATCATCGTGCTTAAAAATGTATTTAGATGTAGACCAACATGAAGAATGGCTCCAGCCAGTCCCAAGTTAACAAGCGTCATTTTGTAGCTTGAACAAGTCCCATTGCTGACCACCGTTGGCAGACCAGGAAGCGAATGTCCATGGCATTCGCTTCCTGTAGGACAGCAGAGTGCTAAATTGGCCCTGTTCTTAGAATGTTGGGTTATATTTAGTTAACAAGATTTTAAAGGTGAGGATTCGATGCTTAGCAACCAAAAGCTATTCAAATTATAATGTCCATCAGTAGTCTTATGCCAACTCGGGGACTAGAGACTTGTTAAAGGCCTCCGCAAATTCCCAGGGTCTAACATATTGACAAATTGCTCGCAATTACAAACTTTTGTAAGCAAAATAATGAAATAAAACCCTTTTGTAATACAAAAATTGCAAATACAAACTTTTGTCAGCTTAGCGCATGGAGGCTCGTAAATAAACTTCGCTAGCTTTTCGACCACGTGATGGTGGTCGAATAGCTAGCGGAATTTATTTAGGCATCCCTAATCCACGTGTCGAGTCCTTAGTCATGGGTTTTCAACAGCACCCCTCCCCAGCAAGGCCGGCTTGTCGTGCCCCTCCCCCCTCCCTGCGGCTAACTACCAATGGCCACGCTTCATTTTTTTACCAGACAATGCGCCAGTGTTCCAAAATTCATCCCGTAAGGTGTGCAGGCTGTAAATACAAAGCTCATGCTGTGGGAATCGTGGCTCTGCGGCGGTCCTCGTACGCAATTCGTTGGCGCTAATCCGTTGCCCTTTGACCCCGACCCAGACATCTGACCCACTCAGCCCGTTTGTCAAGCCTGAGGCGCATGGATACTGGTTTGACAACCGCCCGGTCGGATGCTGATTGGCCGATTTTGGGTAATGGGAGGGCCGCGGGCGTGAGCCCAAAGCCGGGGTGTTATAGCATGAAAAAATATCGGCATCCCTGCCACCTAAGGGGCCGAATATTGGCACACTGCAATGCGCAGTCGGTCGTTTCGCGCGTTTAACGTGGTAAAACCACGCATAGCTAAGTCTTTTAGAACGCAGCAAAAATGGTGCCATTTGAATGGAAATCGACGACAGGTTACATTTCTTGGGGTGGTTATTTCTGATTGATATGAGGGTGCTTTCTGCGGGTTGTGTTTTCTCGCAGGAGTAAAAAGGTCGTCATTCGTGCTGAGATGTGAGAATGCTTACCCCAACTGGTCCTACAGGGAGTGAATGTCGATGACATTTCCCAGCCGACCAGCCACTGGTGATCGATAATGGGGACTTGTTCAGGATGATTGGGATCCGCTTTTTACTTAAGGAGAGAGATAAACCATGTGGCATGGTCGCGGCCGCACTATGTGTAGCATATCTGCGAGACCGTCGAAAAAAATGCAGTGTTTTTGAAAGGGGAAAACTGACAGATGACTCGTGGATATGCAAGTCTTTTCTCTTTACCTGAAGAGGACTGGTCTTTTGCTCCGAAGGCACGTGGTTCTTCTGCTCCTTTTTGTCTCTCCGTCGGAAGTGTGTGCAAAGGTGCGGCTACTGCAGCCGCCACGTTAAAATGAGAGAAAGGGGCTCAGGTGTGTCGGTGCCATGAAGAAGGTTTGAATGTGGCAACAAGACTGGGTGCGTAAAGCTTGCACGGCTTAGGCCGCTCAGCAAGCCCGACATTGCCGATACTGGTATCGGTGGCAAAGCTCCGGTAAAACCCGTGATTTCCCCAGACGTATGCTTGCAGTAGTTTTTTGTTTTTTGTTTTGTTTTTGTTTTTGCTCGGTTCGTCACGCAGACATGACCCGTGCGCGCGTCAAGGGTGAAGCCGAGACTTGTCCCAAGTCCTGATATCAGTTCCCAGATAATGGTGTCAAGCTAAGCGTAACATATGGGAGTCTTTGGACGGCGAATGTGTCGGATAATTGTATGGGAATCTTTGGACGGCGAATGTTTCGGATCATTATATGGGAGTCTTTGGACGGTGAATGTGTCGGATCATTATATGGGAGTCTTTGGACGGTGAATGTGTCGGATAATTGTATGGGAATCTTTGGACGGCGAATGTTTCGGATCATTATATGGGAGTCTTTGGACGGTGAATGTGTCGGATCATTATATGGGAGTCTTTGGACGGTGAGTGTGTCGGATCATTGTATGGGAGTCTTTGGACGGTGAATGTGTCGGATCATGTGAGACCTCCCGTCGCGGCCTGAGTCGTCTGGTTCCAAATGCCATTCCCAGCTAAAAAAAATCCCTTCATCCCCTCCGAGTGCGGAATTGATAACTGTGGCTGAATGAAGCGGGGAGCGGTCCAGCTTACCGATTTGGCGGCCCACTCGGTCGCGCGTGGAGGCAAATCTCGCTGGCAAGTACGTGGCCCTGCGAGGACTATTCTGCTCAAATTCCTGTGCGGATGGTCAGCTTCCCGTGACGTACATACTGAATGTGCGTGTTTTTATGCATGCAATCAATCAATAGTTGAATTTTGCTTTATGCAACCACACACCTGTATCGAAGAAGTCTTGGCTTTCTGACAGTGATCCAGGGAAGTAATGTGCTATTCAAGGTGAGGTGTTCAGCCCATCCCCCTCCCCAGCTTTGGCAAGGAAGTGGACCAAACCCGGAAAAAAGCCTTTTTGTTGGCACATTTCGGAGATAGCCACGTCATTTTCACTACTCAGCCGTCCATTCCTCTCCCCCCTCCCCCCTCAAGTTTATGGAACTACGTCCCTGCAGCAATCAACAGAGCACCACCAACATACTGGGCGCAAAGGCTGCTCGGAAACACGGATACAGGGAGACGAAGGTCGCCAAAGGATGGCAGTAGCGGCGGGTGGGCGACAGACACTCGGTCGCGCGTGATCCGAGGTACATCAGGGAGTCGCGCGGCGCGGGGGCGTGCCGCCGTGTCTATAACCTGAACCCGACGTCAGCCTCGGGCAGCTGCGCCCCCGGGGCGGCACCGGCGGAGAACGAGAACGAAACAACGGTCCGCGCCGTGAATCGGACCGGCGCCATTGCCTGCAGGCGACGGTGGCGCGAACGGCCCTCGGCCGGCATCAGTGACGCCCGGGTCCAGCGGCGCGATGCTGGAAAATTGGCACGTGGCCAGCGGACGGGCGGCGGCAGGACAGCGCGCGCCTCCATCTTGTGATAAACAGGGCCGCCACCTGGTGGGACCCGCGCCGCAGCCGGCACGTGGCCGGCGCCGGGCCCCGTCTCCCCTTCGTCCCTCTCGGCCGGCCGGCCGGCCAGCTCAAGGTCACTGTCACGGGCGCCGCGCGGCGTCCGCGGCGCGCCGCCGCCGGCCGAGCCGCCGCCGTCGCCTCTGTCGCGGCTTTCGATCGCGGTCGATGGCGGATTGAGTGCGGCCGCGTCGCCGCCGGGGGCGCGGCCAGGTCACGCGGCGGGACCGACCGCCGACGCGGCGGGTCGCCGCACGCGTGGCCGTACTGTATTGTACGACGGGCCGCGGCGGCGAATGAATCGGCCGGCGGCCGCGGCTTCGGGACCGGCTGCGGCGAGCTGACGAAGCCACGGGCGCAGCCACGCCGCAGGAATTTGGACGATGGTCCGCTCACGCCTCGGCCGGTCGCCGTTTTTGCCCCGTCGCCTGCGATGCGCGCCACGGCGCCGGCGCCAATCTTACTTCCCGCCAACGCGCGGCCGCATACGGCGAGCTCAGCCCAGGAAATCGGACAGGAATCTCCCCGAGTTTTTCGCCGCGCCAGTTGAGCCAGCGGACGGTGGGGTGTGGACGTGCGCACGGTCGCTCCGTCTGACGCGCGCCCCGTGTGGACCGTTGCAGGCCGGTGGGGACCGCGGAGCACGCCCCGTGCGCCGGCGCGCGCCCAGCGTTGGATGGGCCGGCGGCGGGCTGGTCGCGCCCGCAGCTGAGAGTCTCCCGCGCGACCGCCAGTCAGCCCTCTGCAGGTATGTGACGCGACGGGCGGCGATCGATGCGAACCGCCGCCGCCGCCGGCTGACGCCCGGCCACCTGACCCGGAGCCGGCGGCCGCCTCCCCGCCTCGTCCCGCCGGGGAGGGGGCAGGTGGCCAGGGGTGCGCGGGGTGGGGGCGCGCGCGCCGCCGGCGGGGTGCAGCGAGGCACGGCCGCCGGAGAAAGTGGCGACAGGCAGCGCGCCTGGCGGCGCCGCCGGCAACCGACGGCCGGGCACCGCTGCTCTGTATGTGTGTGTGTGTGTGTGGACGTGGGTGTGTATGGATTGCCGGAGAATAAACAAGGCGGCTGAGAACGGGACCAGTCAGCTAATAGGTGGCGGCGCATGGGCGGCGCCAGGCGTGCGGGGGCGGAGGAGGGGGGTGGGGGGGGGGGGAAGCGTGACCCTGAGCGAGGGGCGCTGGGAGTGCTGCCGGGGTACGACGTAGGTGGAGCCCGCCGTCTTCTCCTTCTGCGTTCCACCGGTCGTGCTCAAGGTCTTACTTACCGCCGGGGGCACCAGATGATGTAGTCGCCGTCGCTTCAGGGAGGTGACGTTATGTAAACCCGTGCCGTGCAGCGGTGCACCATGTGGCCGTAGTGGTTCAGTCCCGTCATGGTTTCGTCAGCGGGATCTGATCTAGCCTATGTGGGCCTTGCCGTTGCCGCTTCCCATCTGCACAATTTCGTTTATGCCCCTTTATCGTAACTGAGATCAGTGACTTTTGTCTGTGACGGTGACATAACGATGAGTGACATAACGGCATGGTACTACTCGTGCACGTACAACCATAGCAAACAGCGTAGAATGCCCATCGCCGTTGACGTTGTTCCAACACCAAATGACAGTAAGAGCTTCGTCTACGTCAACGTTTGCATTAGTGGCGAAACGTGCGCGCGGGATAGTTCTTCGGCGCCTCGCCACCAGGCGGCGGTCAACGGAGCGCTGGTCCGTAGTTTTTCTCGTTTATTGGCCTTATTGTTGTTTATTAGTGTTAAGGGCTCGCTGACAGCGTTTGTTAACATTCAAACTACACACGACACACATTCACACACGCAGACCGTGCACACCCACCTTATGTAATTGACAGTGGTATATGCATGGCACGAGAAGGCACATACTTTCAGCGCGCAATGCATTTTTACATAAATGACGTATGCGCTTCATTCGCTGAAATCTATCACTAATCCAAATTCTGGCGACACTCGCGTGTTTTTTGTGTCTGAATGGGTAATTTTGCGCGTGCGTGTGTCCGGAAGGTTGACTGGCGGCCAACGGGCGAGCCGGCCAGTCCATGGTCAGCTATACAAGCACGTTATCTGAGCCTATTCCACATTATTTTGAATTTTCGGAAATCAGTTCTGGTTTTGCAGTTGTCACGTGCTTTCTCAGCTTTTCGCACAAGCGCGGCCACCAGTGACAGCTCGCTACGCTGAATGCCTTTGGTGGGTATCCCGTGATGGACGGTATTCATGACAGTTGGTATGAGTGTGTCTGTGTCGAACAGGTCGACGAGGAAAACCAGTGTTTTACCGAAATGTGGACTTCTAGACCGTAATTGTTCTTCAAACGAGAGAAAATATTGCTGGTAAACTGCTGCGTCTGGGGGGAGGGGGGGGGGGGAGTTACCAAACTAAGTTGGGATCTATTGCTGCGGCACAGAAAGAAGTGCTATTTTGGGTTGCGTTCATTGTGTGTAAGAGTCGGTATGCTACATACAGTCTAGCAATCATTGTACTGGAGATATGATGACCTTGTACATGCTCTTAACGTTGCGGCAATTCATGGTGCTGCGGTTCTGGATCTAGCGGTTCGGGGTTTCCATGGTAACTGTCGCGTCTTCGACCCGGATCACTCCGCTATCAGTGATGATGCAGTAAACATCGTGTAACACTCGCCGTCGCTCAGTTCAAGGCCGCGGGAGTGTACGGTTGGGCGCTCCCTCCTCCCAGCAGTTGTTCTGGGGCGAATGCTGGTATCAGCATGATCGGTGATGTTCCACGGCCTGCCACAAGTGACCGAGTTCAGTAAGAAGTGTTTGTGGTAGTGTTTAGGTTTGGGGACCCAGTTTACAGTGCCGCAGTCCGACGTGAAATTAAAAGCATGTCACCGGCGGTCACGTTTTAGGAACGATGTCTGGAGACGCGTGTTTGCAGTAAAGTTTTGAAATTGTTTTGCCTGTATGGGTGGCTCCTGAAACCCGAGCATGAATTGAACTACTCGCTTCGAATTGCCGATGTTTCTCGCGCGCCTGCTCAGCTGGAATTACGGGTTTGTGTGTTTGTTTGTTTGTTTGTTTTTCGCGTGCTTGTGTTTGAAGTGGGTCGGTTTTCAGGTGGAGCAACACAGGCATGCTTGGCTTCTGAGGCTCCACGTGACAGAAATAAGTTTTTAGGCAACGAAATTTGACCTGTTCAGTTTTGCATTTTGGCGTCTTATTTGTTTGTTTGTTGTTGTTTTTTGTTGTTTTTTTGCTTCGATGTCCAAACGCCTGGTGTGATCCTCTCAACGCGGTGAATCAGGTTGAATCAAGCGCCGTGTGGTGATGTCAGCCGATGGACGGCCACCAGACAGACACGTGCTGAAAGGTGACGCGATGTCTGTGGACCGGGTGGGGGGGTGGGGGGCCCATAATAAACGCCCTTACGACTCCACCCTGACCGTCTGCGTATCTCGAGTGACGCTGCCGCGCCGCCCGTGCGACGCGCGGGTCAGGAGGCACCGGCTCCGGCTGCTGTGGCCATGAGCCAGCCGCGCGCTCTTCGCCTGCGGCATGGGAGCAGCGCTCGCCGGTCCACGCGGAGCTGCTGAGCTGGCGGAGGCGTGCTGAGTAGCCCCGTGTGCAGCGCTGGGAGCCTCCAGACGCGGCTCAGCGCCCGGCGTCTGCTGCTGGAGCTGACGAGCGTGGGCGGGCCCGGCTGCCGCAGGCCGCCACAAAATCGATGACCACCTTGTGCGTCCAGATCACTCCCGTCGCTAGGTGGCAGGGCGAGTGAGGTTTTAGTGGCGTCCGGCACAAGGGCGTCTGTACGGGCCCATCGGTCACGTGACCCCGCTGAGTGACGCGACATGGTCTGTGAAGAGGGTCAGCGAGGGTCAGTTTCAAGGAGGCTCCCGGCGTGTGCAGACTCGTTGGCCGGGAGCACTACCATAGCAGCGGGCGAGCGCGTAACTCCCTCATGCGGTGTTCGCTTTGGTCAAAGGTCATATCGACCACTGGTCATATCGACTCTGGTCATATCGACCCACTGTCGTCCGGTTGGTATGGTGATGTGTGGAATGACGTATGGTTCCGTCGCCGAGAACCTGTCGTCAGGGAAAACACCGTCAAATGCTGATGCCTCACGGCCGTGGCGGACAGACCTGGAGAACAGTAACGGCTGCGGGGCTGTGCTGGGGCTGAAAACGGCGCCGGCCGCGGGGCTGTGCTGGTGCTGAAAACAGCACCGGTCGCGGGGCTGTATTGGTGCTGAAAACGACGCCGGCCGCGGGGCTGTGCTAGTGCTGAAAACGGCGTCGGTCGCGGGGGGGAGAGCTTGGTGACCTTGGCGACCAAATTAGGCCCGAAAAAATTATAAATCATTCCCGAAGAGTGATCAGTCTACAGAAAAATCATGTCGAAGGTTGTGGACAAAACATCGCCCGGTGTTGAAGTCGACGGTACAGAGATATTTGGAGGCATATTTGCGAACTCTATTCTCGCAGTCGTTAGAACAACCGGCTCTGTGTGCACCTTGGCTCTTTAAGTCCCGATCATCGGTGATCATCGATCATTTTCCAATCGATTGACGGTGAAACGGACGCCTCTGAAGATATCGGTGCGGGGACCATTGGCTTCCGCGGGTTGTCTGACTTGTGCGTGCAGTCCCCGAGGGCAGCCATCACAGGCGAATATGACGTGAAGGAGGTGCTGAAGAAGATGGCGGCGCGTGCGATGCGCCAGCAGAAGGAACCAGGCCCGCCGTACAAGCCCTGATCTGTGTGGGGTATGTCACAGGCCGTCTTCCAGCAAAATGGCGTTCCTGCGCACCGAACACAAGTAGGCAGGAATGGCGACGAACTGACCTTGCACGGTTCCGGACGATAGGGCGGGGTCTGGTAACGACCCCGACCTCGCACCAATTGAGAACTTGTGGTCAGCCGTGCCGGACGAGATCGGTTCACCGGTGCCGGCCACGTCTGAGCGGACCCTCATCAGAGACGTCCGGCCAGCGGGGCGCGCTGTCACCTCCGGCCCGCTGAAGAGGCCCGTGCCGGAGCGTGTGAGGGCGCACGTCGCCGAGGAGGCATCGACGACTGAGCCGTGCGCCGCGCCTGGTTTGTCTTCCTGTCGCCATCTGGGAAAGACGGTCATCAATTTTGGGACACCCAGCACTTTTGAATGTTCAGAGATTGCTTCTTCGTGAGTGGCTATGCTGGAAAAGATGCTGACTGGCGTGACGTTTCTCGAACACTCGAAGAGTGTGAAATTCGTCAAAACTCTGTTACTTTTCTTGTCTTTTGGGCCTTGCCCACATCCCCCACCCCCACCCCTGCTCGGCGCGCGTCTGCGCTCTGTGGCAGCAGTGGCCGAGAAGCTGGCGACGGTCTGTGATTAGGCTGGCATGGGCCGTTACGGCAAATGTCAGTTGATGTAGCCCAGGCGCCGTCAGATGGCACGGCGGACAAATGTGGAGCGCAAGGCACGCTGATATGTGCTATCGCATCCCTCAACAGTAACTGTACAAATGTCAGCCGCAGTCGTGAGACGCAGTGAGGAATGGAAAACTCCCCGACAGCGTATTTCGGCGACCTGAATACTTCGCGTCACGAAAATCAGTGTCCGTCAAACTAGAGGGTGGGAAAGTTGTCCTTTAGCTTGGGTGACTCAATCACGGGCTTGCTTTCTGCTTGGCTGTCTACGCCCGGCGAAGCATGGTGCCGACGTCGCTCGAGCAAACGACCAACCCTGGCACCAAGCGTAAAAAGACAACGGAGCGCGCGGCTCGGTGGG